ATACATTTGATTAATTAAAAGCTGTACTGTGGCAAATGTAGTAAAAAGACTACAAGAAGACCTCATCACCCAAGATCCCTAACTTCCATGCATGCAGTGTGAGATAAAGTGGTTTCATTCATAGAAATGGCTTGGATGTCTGTGTGTATGTGTATATTTCTTTGTTTGTGAGGGCAAATTTTAGTTCAAAACCATTTTAGTGAGGAAATTAAGTTTTGGTCTCAGAGTTAAGATTAGAATAAGGTTTAGGTCAGGTTAGAGTTGGGGGTAGGCATTTAATTAATCTGGTTAAGGGCAGGGGGAGCTGGGGAATGCATTATACTGATGTATGTGTGTGGCAACGCTTCAGGATTCACTTGTGATTGCTTTGATAATGCACAGTCGAGTCATCAAACAAAGGGTTTTTTACTTCCATCTCTCCAGTCTGTCAAGGAAGGAAGAAAAATGGATTTCTTAGTCATAACACAAACATCAGAAATGATTAGTTTTGTGTGTGTCTACCAACCGGTGCAAGTCCAGGGCACTCGTATACTGTGAAGTCTCCTCCCACTTCTTCCTCATCTGACGTGACCTCGGATTCAAGACCTTTCTGTTCAAGTCTGTGACTGAAAAAGAAAAAAACAATACATTTGAATTAAGGTGGAGAGGTGACAAGGTTGGAGGATGTGGTTGAAAAATTTAAATCCACATAAAGCTATGAGAGACAGGAAATGGGGGGAACATAAGGGAGTGGAGGGAGAGTGAGAGAGCCTGCAGAAAAACTGAAAAAAAAACTTACTTTCCCATTGCTAACATCTGCTGTTTCTGGTGTTGATAGTGATACATTTGAGCACTTTGGGCCAGAGTTTTATCTCCCATCTGAGTGCCAAACAGAAGAAGGAAGTGTGGATGACACATTTGAAACCAGAAGCCTCTATCTTGTGGCTTCAGCAGAAGTGAAAAATAGAAACAGAGGAAGTTCTACCAACAGCAGTTAGGTGAAAGGGGATCTTTTTGCCTACCGAGGTACCAGTGGCTGCAGCATGAGGCCCGTTTGCCTTTCCTAAAGCTGGGTAGTCAACCTTTTGAGCCAGTCGTGATTCTTTGTGCAACCTGTGGGGGGGGCACAATGAATCTGAGTCTCATGCAATACTTAATGATGATATACAGCAAATGGCAGTAGGCTTTGGATTTTAAGGTTAAAAAGGTGTAATCATCACTATGTATAAAAAGTCAAAATGGTAAATTTAAACACCATGAAATGAAATTCAGCAGTAGTCATTCATACATCATAAAAGAATTAAAATTTTTGTTTTTGTTTTTGTGAATTATTCTCAGCTCAATTTATAAGGTGTAACTAAGTCGGCCAACGACGGTCAAAGGCATTTTTTTTTTTTGTCTGACATCTCTGTGATGTACTTGGCAGTGAGAAAACCCATCTTTGAGTGAAGTTTGATGTAAGCCTCAACTAACTGGCACTAACCAAAGTAATATATACTTCAATTTAAGTATCATGATGCCAAAATATATTTGTTTTCCAACTGCATCAAACATTATAAATGCACTTTTTTTTAGATGTTTATGAGAACAAAACACAAAAAGATAAAAACGTAAATTGTATATAAATATATGATTGTGTATACCATTCAACTATTATCACTTTAATTCCATTTAACTGACTACAAACAAAACCTGGAAATCCAAATATCTGGATAGCAAACATTTCTGTAGTTTTTTGTTTGCATTAATAATAATTCATTTAATACAGTTTGTTAAACAATGAAAACAAACTAATACAAACTATGCTCTTTGTTTTGCATTTCTTTTATTATTCAGATCATTTAAAAACTGGACTTTGTTTGACCATAAAAATAAAAAAAGCCTTCTTCTTGCATTACTTATAAGTTTATGTGTTCAGACTTACTTGACAAAACAGAGAGTCGCCAGGATCAGTGCCACAATGCCCATCACAACACACAGTGAGACTAAAACTGCAGGTTGGTACAAGAAAAGAGTATATGAAAGGAGAGTGGAGGATAATAAAGGGTAAACGAGTTATTACTCCTACTGAGAAATTTATTATAGGTGCTACATATGATTATATTGTTGCTCTTTTGCTCATTATGAGTACTTATTGCCACACACTGGCATAAAAAGACTGAAGTGTTAAGCTGTGAAATCTGGCTGTCAACACAGAAGTGAGGCTGATGGGCTAGATTTGTGTCCATCATCTGGTTGTATTAGTATCATGTACGAGCATCTTGAATTCCCTATAATCAGGCTTTCACTTTAATCATACTCACTGACAATAATTTTGTCATTCATGGGTGACGGGGCCACTACAGGACCAGCTCGACCGGCAGCCCCAGTGGCTCCGGGCTGTGTGTTCCCGAGGACTGACACTGCAGGTTGCAGCGCTGAAGTGGTGACTGGCAGGGCTTCAGATGAGGGATGACCCTGGTTTAGTTTGTTTTCTGTCCGGGAGGATGAGAAAGACATAAACAATTACAGAGTCATAATCAAAGGCTACCATGAGGGGAAAAATACAGAGTCTAATGGGGATAAGTGTCCGTTAAAGAACATATAGGAAACATATTCAACTCTCTTTCACTACAGAAAAAAACTCTGTAAAATAAAATCAGTCTTGAGGCTTAAAGATACACACCTTTAAATTCAAAACAGAAAGTAATGTCTTTCCTGCTTTTATAGTTATGTTTCTGTCTGAAGATAGCTCTCAGGCTTCTTACCGGAAGGTGTGGATTGATTGTTTGCTGGTTTGGTGTTTGACACTTGCTGTTTTTCAATGACAGCGTGAATGTAATCAATTTCTTTTTCTGGGTCAGGGTAGCTCGACACTTCACCTAAAGGACAAACATGACAAACAAGTTTCACTGAGCAACTTGTACACAAATTAAACTGGCTATAACATAAAAATGCAAGTATACGTAAAATGCTGTAGCACTTCAGTGACACCAAATACTTAATATAATAGACAAAGCACTTTCATTCATACACATAACGAACACATTGGTGACAGAAACTTTATATACATCACAAACACAATTACACTATGTAAAGAATAACACCTATGACTGAGGTTTCTAATGTTTAGCCACAATCTGTAATCAACCTGAAAAGTGTTCATTGAGGGTGCAACTAGTTGTTCATTTCTTTATCCTGTTCTAGTCATGAATCTGCCATTTATTATTCTAAATATTACAAAAATTATTAAGTATTACAAAATAGTCCAATGCATTTTACTATTCCATTCAACAGAGAAAAGCTGAAAATTTGAGAGTGAGAAAAGTGAGACTCAGGAAGAACGCAAAAGTTGGCATTGCTGCTTGGAAAAAATTACTTAAACTTTAAACATTTAAAACAGTTGCAGCCAGTCCTTTTGCAGATTATAATGTTGAAGATGGTCCTGTGTCATGACTGTATGTAATGCTTAACTATTGTTATGTACAAGAGAGAAAGAGACATGCATATCGTTAACACACCTATACATGCTGTCTTCATGTCTTTTTAATGCCTTGCCTCTGAAGTGATGAACAGGGAGTGTGCCCACGTGTTTGTTTGTGGACTGGTAAAAAAGGAGACAATTCTTAACTGTTATCAACAGCCCTTAAGGCCAGACAGGGAGCCACATTCCTGCAATACTGCCGTGGTCTCCAGGGCGACTAGTGTGTGTGTGGCCGGGGGAGGAAGCACTGCAGGGAGCCGGAGCAACTTACTGGGCTTGAGCTACTACCTTCAAATCGTTCCTAATAGAGGTAATCAAAGTCCTGTTTCCCTCTATAATGCAATATATCAAATATGAAATACTAGGTATTTTCAGTGAAAGCTGGTGAGGAATCAAGCTATGAGAAAAGCAGGAGAGAATACAAAAAACACAAAAGAGCTAAAGGTGGTTGATTTGCAAAGCAGTTTAATAAGATCATGCCTGATAGCGAGATGTCATCTGTTCAGCATCATGGGTCATTACATATACAGTTGGTTTGTACGACACTGATAATAAAACCAGTGTAAACACAAATAAATGACCGATGCCGGTAAATCTTTCTAAGCAAATGTGTTTTTATACATCCTTACAACCGCCTACATCACATTAATAATTACAGTGTCACTTTCACTCCAGAAGGCTGGCCATCTGGCTAAGCTAATGTGTATGATATGACATGCCAGCACTTTCACTGCCTGCTTTGTTATTTTCTTACCCCCCTCCACTAATGGCCATTTAGTGCACTCCATAGCAGGTGTCTGTGGAGGCAGGAGGCACCATCTGTACTTTGCAGGTGGTTAAGAGCTCCCACTGTGCCCGTGTGTTCGCCGAGGGCATGTGTTAGTACATGTCTGAATTTTAGAAGTGACTCAAAAAAGGTAAGAGGATGGCAGTAGGTGGTTTAAAATATGTAGGAAAATGGTTTTGATGCATGATCAGAGAATTTATTTACTTATAGGGAAACCCCACCCAGGCCAAAGTTCATCATTTCCCTAAAAAGTGGCAGTTGTGTGTAGGTGTGTGGTTTGTCACACAATGACTAAGTACGCGCACCTCTCCTTGTGTAAGAGACTGTTGTCACCAGTTTGATAATGACCCATAACCTCTTGAGAGACACCAGGGGGCAGTTGGGTACAACAAGCAAACACTACAAACTCAACAGGGATTGTGGGTCACACACATCTGTGCTGTCCTCTTTTCCCACTTAAAAACCATTCACATCTTCCTCCCCCAAACCACAGGAACACACACACACACACACACACACACCACTTTCCTGCCCCCCACCTCCTTGTTTAGAAACTCAATCAGATGGATTTCACAGACTTTATGATTTTATTTTCAACTTTTTGTAGTACTTGTGTAGTAACAAGTGTAGCAGTAGCAAAAAGCACCGTGATATGATTATGTAGTATACCTTAACATGAGAAAAGAACAACAACACAAAGCAGAAAGCACCTCTGAATGTGAATCTGCTTTAGACTTTAGGTGTTGTTGCAGTAGCCTATATTGCACCAGAACCTGCCATGACAGAAATGCCACATAAACCAGGCAATAAATATCGAGGCAGAGAAATCTCAGAAGAATCAGCTTTATTGGCCAGGTGTGTCGGACACACGAGGAATTTGACTCTGGTACATCGGCTCTCAATGTGCATGTACATATCCCCATGCAAGGGGGAAGTAAACAGTAAACCAACATAAGGCTGTGTAATATAATAAAATAAGCAGTATTAACAGGCAGTAAACACTGCAGACAGACAAAGGAATGCTAAGAAAAGAAAAGTCTTAGCAGCATCTTTCTAAGGTAAAGAAACTATTGCTCTAATTATGATTTGTTAACTATGACTGTGTGATCTGTTAATTAGTCTATGAAATGTCAATTTACCAGAGCCCAAAGTGAAGACTAGGCAACTGACACATTGTTCCCTCTACCACCAAAATCAAAACTAAAGTAAAATAATGATCTAGTATCTACGTTTTACTTCATTTTTAAATTTCTTAAATGCTAAATCAATTACCAATTATATGACTGATCTGTGATTCAACTGATCATTTTGGTGCTATAACAAAATATTTTTCAGTTTCCTCCTTCTCAGTGAGCAAGGCCTCACTCCTTTTCATAGGTAGGTGATTAATTTACAGAGTGTCCTGCTGCCCTCTAATGGTCATATACACACAGTGTTGGAAGAACTAGTTAATTTAAATAAGATACTTAATTTAAATAAACTACTAAATAAATGTGATTGTAATCAGTTGCATTTACTGAAAAAATGTAATTAAATTACTAAGCAAAATGGTGATTACAAAGGGGTTACATCTTTCGGTTAAAAAGCTTAAAATAACATAAATTCTGTTGCTTTGCATCTTTCCACTATGCAGGAATGTCTTGTTTTGGATTACTTCCAGATATCGTGGATCAGCAAAGCCACTGGGACGAATGTAAGTGCAACACTACAGGTAGGATGCTTTACAAACCCATTTCTATATCTGGACAGGCTCCATTCATTTGGCAGCATGTATAAAATTTTGAACGCTGCTTTTAATCGGGTCTTGTGTTTGACTTTGCATCGCCATTGCCTCTCATCTGTCAATCAAATCAATGCACCTGGCTGTGACCAGCCGACAACACCAAGGCAGGTGGTCAGAAAAGAACGCTTTTCAGTGCAGTATATTCCTCCTGACATTTATGTTAGGACTTTTCAGCTTTATTGCCCAGTTGATTTTTTTTCTAAAGTAATCAAAATGTAATCAAAGTAATAAGTTACATTACTTATAACATTTTAAACAGGGTAACTAGTGATCCGTAACCTATTACATTTTGAAAGTAGCCTTACCACTGTATATAAAGTATGAAGGGTGGAGAGATCCAGACAGAGACTAAAGGTCAGTTTGACTAGTTCATGAGCTCTTTCCTGCATGTTTTGAGGGAAGGCCATCAAGACGGTAAGTTAAACAGAAACTAATATTTACTTTATTAGTTCATCTGTTTTTAGAATGAGGGATGGGCACTCTGTTAAAATGTAATTTTGCCAATACTATTGATATGAAACTGTACAATTTTGGCAGTGAGTCACTCTCCACCCTGCTATAAAAAGTTAGTCACAAGTGACTGAACAGCTTTGAGTCAATATGGGAAGTCTGATGTGCAATGTTCGAACGGTCAATAAACAGTCCCACCTGTCTTTGCCATTATTTAAAAAAATGTATACACTCACCAGTAGAAAAAAGGAGACAAGTCTACAATAAACCACTGAGAATGGTTTACTCTTTTTTTCTAACTGTTAGAAATGAGGTCAGTTGCTAGCGCCAGCATCTGCTTATAAACATGAACAACAATGTAAACATACAGATATTCATAATACTTGTACCAAAGTAGAATATTTTGGACAAAGATGATTTGCTTGTTGTACTGCATGGTTTGCTTTGCGAGATATAATAGTGGAAGTCTATATGTAGTAGGATTAATATTTACAACCATATATCTCTATATATGCAAACAAATGCAACATATACAAAACAGCACCAATATCATTCATTTCATCCAGTTAAATGTTGTGTGCCTGGTTAGTTCTATCACCGAAAGACAGCAAAACTAACTTAATTTCATTGCTAGTGGCAACTACTCACTAGAAATGAAGTGGAACTGTTGTTTCAGTTCAGTAATCTAATCTCATTTTACCAAAGTAAACTGCTGCAGGACATTTATTCATGCTGTATGTCATTGTGACTTTGTAAAACATCTGTTGGAGTGTTTTGGTCTTTTTGTTATTGTCAGTTTGTTGACTGCTCCATTATACATTATATAATGTATAATGGAGCCATGTTTATATCTTGTAAAAAGATATAAATATGCATACACAAAAGAGCAGAAACAAGCACAATCTATGTATGAATGTAAGAGAGACAGAGAGAGAGCACTATAGGAGGACAGAAAGTGAGATTCCAGTTATAACCCTGGGCTGTATGGAGACAATCCAGCCTTTAGCATATAGATTAATTAACTGTGTATACAATAAAGTGTACATGCCATTCACAGTTCATTTGTCCTCATTCTGAACACATGATAAGGCTTCAAGGAATACTGCATGTTTACCAATGGCAGTACACGCCTCCATGTCAAATATAAGGAGGCCCTGCTTACAACAAAAAGTGCTGTCTGCGTCACTCTTTCACCTGCTGTGTACTCTTGTCCTCTCTGGCCTATGTGAAATTTCAGATATTTTCTTTCAGCAAGTACAAATAACCTTGATTTCCTGTTGTTTACAGCAGCTGATCAACACGTGCAAGACCACAGAAGTATAATAAGTGAGAGTGTGATTTAGACAAGAAGGAGCTGGAATGAGAAGAACCGGTTTATGGTCAAATATATGGCGTGGCTGCAGTGGTAGTAATATTATCACCTACAGTGAGGACAAAAGCCATGTCACGATAGGGAGGAATGAGCTGAACACTAGCCCCGCCATAAACAATTATTAAGTACAGTAGCTTTAGACCAGGGGTGGCCAATTCCAGTCCTCGAGGGCCACTGCCCTGCTTGTTTAAAAGTGTAGTGAGGAAAGATAAAGTGAACTGGTATTGTCCAGCTTCTGACTGACTGAACACACCTGAGCCAGGTAATCAGCAGCAGGTCAGACAGGGATAGTTGGAAAACAAGCAGGGCAGTGGCCCTCGAGGACTGGAATTGGCCACCCCTGCTTTAGACTATATTCATATAATTTCTTTGATTCGACTGTTCAAATGTATTGGTTGATTTAAATGAATAAAAATAATAATAATAAAATCCTGTGTAGTTGTCCCTATAAAGATAATGTAAAGTCAGTCATGCAATGGTTATTAAAGGTCAGAGCCTATTTGTGAATATTACTGCATGACAACAGACCATAAAAATGACTACTGGCTAAAAGAAAATATGCCCAACCAAGACTCCAATCTGATTAGTCAACAGCCAGCAGAGACAAAGGCTGAACCATGGTGTGGCAGGAAGGGCAAAGCAGCCTTACAGCGGTAGCTTTTGTAGCCTCACATCCAGGACTTTGAGTTTGATGAAACTCGCTGTAGGCAGCCAGATTAGGCAATGCAGCAGGAGAGTGACTAGGGAGAATCCCAAGTGGGTGTAAGACACGGGTGGCTGTAGTATCACCCTGACTGCTCTTCAGTCTCTTCTATTGCAAGGACATAATGCAGATGAATCCTGTCACTCTAAACTCTGAGCTGATAAGATGAATTAAGCTTAAGCTGCTAATTCTCTTAAAACATGTGCATTTCAAAATGATTTATGATGCTGTTGTTACAGTCGTCATGTGGAAAATGTACAGTCACAGAGATAGAAATACAATCCAAATTCCAAATACTAATAACTGTTCAGGCCATATCATCATATGAATGTACTACAAATGTATTTTTATCTATCTCTCCAGTATGTCACTCATCTCCTTCTCGTGTGCACTTCTCGCTCTTCTATGCTATACTTTGAAACAAGTTTGTACTGTCCTGCCACAGACTAATTTAAATTACACATAAAAACACACAGTCGCACACAAGCACACATTCAATTTCTCCCTCTAATTTCTGGAGCTCTGTCTTGACACATGGTGTGCATGCCAGCAGTGTGATGCCATACCACGGAAACATTTTCTGAGATTGGCTCTTTCACTGAATTACATTAGATTCAGTGATGGAGATGAAAGGTGAGAGAGAGAGAGAGAGAGAGAGAGAGAGAGAGATGCATGTCATTTAAGTGATTAAAGTCGGCGTGTGAGGGGGCGGTGCATGGGCTGGTGTTTGTGTGTGTGTGTGTGTGTTGCAGACACAGCAGGAGCAGGGCGGATTAAAGAGCACAGAGGATCAGACTGCACTATAGTTGTCAGAGATATGGAAAGGAAAAGGGGGGAGAGGCAGAATGGCAACAAGGACAAAGACGGAAGACACCAGGACAAGAAAAGTGAGAAATGAAGGAAACTAATCAAATACTGAAAACGAGAAGAAATATAAAGATTAAACTAAGACTGATAAGGGAGAAGAAGAAAAGAAGAGAAGAAAGAGAGATAATTAAGGGCGACAGAATACATATCTGAATTAAAGAGAGAAGAGGCCATGACAAAATCAACAGGGAGGGAAGATGTTTAAGAAAACAGAAAGACAAACACTACAGAAGGAAGCGACTATTGCACCTCTCATTTAAACCTCACCCAGGTTATCTAACAGGAATTGAGGGTGCAATCAGAATAACCTGGTTATTCACTGGTCCTCAGTTTGAGTTTGTGAAGCTGAATCTTTCTTGTGCATTCTTTCAGCAAGCACAGTTCAGAAAATCCAAAGATACAGTCACAAGGCCAAATATTAGAACCCGCAGTTTTCATTCTAAACCTGGTACTTAAGCAAGCAATATAATGAAGGGGGAGAGGCAGAATGGCCTATTCACAGACTCTCTCATCTTCACCTGTACCTCAATATCTTTTCAACATACAGCGGCAATACACCACATCTGTGTACAGAATCATGTCTTACTTTCATGCATTCATTCCCCCTGGAAATCCTTCAGTTCCATATTTGTTTATTGGGGATAACTTTCTCAAATCCACACTCCTGTAGTAAGTAAAATGTTTCAGATGTCCATTCACCTCCAATACAAAGATCCCAATGACTAAAGATATGACTAGCAAGAGTTTCACATGAGTCCCAGTGGAGAAACCCAAGGAAACCAACCTCACCTGAAGCCTGAAGCAGCCTGAACATGTTTCTAATGAAGACTGGGAGCTTGTGTGTAGCAGATGCAGAGCCATAAGAGTATGTTTGCACAGGAAAGCCCATTTTTAGTCATACCTTGCTGATGATCACTATTTTTCAACACGCAGTGTCTTTTTTCATTCTCCTCAAATGGGGAGAGGCAAGGACCACAGTGAGAAGAGCCAGGCTTGCAGAGATGGCGTCGCTCTTTGGCACAGTCTATATGGAGAGGGCATGTTTTGGCAACTGGGAGAAGGAGAGAAAGAATGACAAGTTTCATTATTAGCCTATACCTCCACTCTACTGCTGTGAAGCAGAAATCATACTCTTAATGAGACAGTTAAATAACAGTCTTTGTGTGGAATAAAGGACTATGAGAATGTGAATATGAAACTCAGCTTCATAAGCATCACTACTTTTAGTAGTGGATGTGTCAGCTCTCTAGCTCCATTCAGAAAAAAAAACACCTGTCCTAGAACAGAGCTTCTGGTGGTTTCAGTTACATCACAGCTTCACTGAGGTTTTGGAAATGGATTTTAACTTTTGCTGTAACCTTCTATAAAAGTGTTTTATGGGTGAAGTTTACCAGATACTGTATAAAAAAGCACAGTGTCTCTCTCACCAGATCTGCCTGCTATCAGGTTAGATAATCACCTGACCTGATTACTGCTGGTTTGATACAAAAGCAGAGCCCAACCAGTGTATTTAGATATATACGCAAACACACACACACACACACACAGCTTGAGATACACGCAAGGAAGAAGTGGGTCACAGGGTAGCAGAGGGCAGGTAGAGCACTGGGACACTATCAGAGCCCAGCAGTGCTACACAGAGGGCCAGCTAAAGGGGAACAGCACGGTGGGCGATGTTACCAGCATCAGATAGGAGGTGATGTAACATGGGAAGAGGCTGGATGAATTCAGTGTTTTCACAGGTCAGCGTTTTTCACATCTACAGGTGACAGATCAGTAAAAACACAGAAATTTAAGTGATTTGAGCTTGCAGGTCTTGCAGCTTTGTTTTCCTCTCTGTATCAAAGATAAAGACAGCGAAGGTTGGTGATGGGAAATTACTTCTAATTTTTGTGCAACATCTGTGGATGAGAACAAATGATTTAGCCGCTGTTGTATCTATGAGAGAACAATAAATGTTTTACTTAGTGCCACAAAACTAACACGCAGGGCGACTACTGCCTGAGCATCTTTTATCATTGTTATTCAAAGCCACGCTCTCTCACGCTTTCTGTTCTCACAGCAACTGTGTCACCTCTAACTCTAATTACTGTCTTATCTGCTCTGCCCTGTTACTGAGTTATTCCACATCCCTGCGACTATAACACGCTAATGTGCTGAACACCCCTCCACTTCATTCCTCATTTATTTCCTCCCTCACTTGTTGTAGTTTCTATTTTTCCCTGTAAAGGCTGAAAACCATTATAAAGCCTCATCCGGTTCTTTCAAACCAGGAACTCCGAGGGACGACTCAGACCACTTAAGTATATAAAAAATATAACCGTGCTGGTTTATTCAAAAAGTCACAGGCAAGAATTCACACTTCCAGTCCAGAGATCTTCCAACCCCCAGCCTGCCAAAGCAGCCCGGAAACCCGAAAGCCCCCGAACCAAGCATTGCTATACAATATTAATCCTTTCTGGGCTGTCGAACCGTGACGTCACCTGATATGCCAGCTTGGCAGCTGAGCAGAGCAGTAGACAAAACATGAAGAAAATAATGTGTGTGGCTGTTGTTTTCGTGGTGTGTATCTAAAACAATTTGACATAACATTACACATTAAGACAAATATTATGGTTACTTTTACCGTCATAATAACATTCGTCCCTGACTGCCGCCTTTCTCTGCTTTTAACTAACCTTGCATTTAACAGCCTGAGGAAGACATCCTGGCTGCACTAACAGTCCTAGACAACAAATCTCTGAATATCTATCTAACTAAAAAATAACCTAACACCTGCCACATGTCTTCCTTTCCATTTCCCTCAAATATCAAACCTGGTTTGATCTTTTCACATGTTCTCAAAGTGCCACGAGTGTGGTTGTAGGCTCTTACACTTTGTAAAAACATGTGCACATCTACTTCTGGCCTTACAGGTGCTGACACCAAAATCTAAACCTATTTCAAATAGCTTCTGTTAATGTTTCACACTTATATTGATTACACTGAAACTACAGTGTCTCAGTAGCATGTGGCTCTTTGTCAGGATCATTCTTGCAAAAGAGATTTTTGTACTGAAGCAGGAGTTAAAAGTGCTTTCTGTTGCACAGACACTGATGGACAAAGAGATGGACAGAGGTATTAAACTCAAAGATTCTTTTAAGATGCACGCAATATGTTTACATTTACTGTCATCCGAATGTCAGGGACTCAGCGATCATCTACAGCTCAATAAAACAGGAAATCGTACTGAGCAACAAACATATTGGAAGAGATCATCTCTATGTGTTACTGTACCATTTACTGTATTTGTGACTCTACATGTCATCGAGAACAAAAAAGAGGTACAATTTTACATTTGCTATTCCTGCCACATGTAAGACAAAACATGAAGAGGCCCTTAATTCCTGCTATAAGGTGAGAAAACAGCTTTATTTTCCAGAATATCTGCATCCTTTATCATAATAATATAGCTAGAGTCTCACCATCTCTCGTCATCACTTCATTTGTTATTCATTACATGGAAAGTCAATGTGGTGGAACCTAATGCAGTCACATGAATGCAGATAATTATTCTCCTTGCACACAAGCGGTCAAACGTTATAAACACACAGCCAGACACAAACCAACTGTATGTGTGTTTCATTATCAATGTGTGAGGCAAGTCCATGGAGAGAAAATGAGGGTGCAAAAATATGCTTTCAGTGTACCAGTAAATATTATTATATACTCAAGCGTACATAACAGGTGTCTTTTATAAACAAAGCAAAACCAGTAAAGAGGTTCATGATGATAAGCAGCTAAAATCTATTGACCAGCATAACAAAGGAGAAGCAGAAGTGAATGTCAACTCGCCATAGGAGGTGGCCTTGCATCAATATGCCTCCCACAGAGTTGGTGCTAATTACAGAGCTTAGTCAAGGAGACAGAGAAAGAGCCATACAAACAAGAAACCGACTGGAGCCGAGTTCACACATGAACTCCAGACTATGTCCATGTAATCAGGCCCGGACTTTGTCAAGAGTTGCCCTTTCACACATGCAGAAGACAACAGGAGGTAGTCAGTGTCAGATGTGTTCTCACCTACTGGAAATATTCCATTTGGTTTATGCGGTGGTGGGGCACCCAGGGTAGAGTACGCAGAAGGTGGGACATGATGCAGTCACATAGCCGGTGTGTAATTTGATCATAAACAACCGAGTCGCTTGCCTCATCTGATGATTCGGGTGCTCCCGGATCTCATCGTGTCTCCAGTTAGATACTTTCACTGCCATCTTCATTGTAAATGACCATTTTTCTTCACCACTGGATGTTTGTATTCTACTAGTTTCGCACCAGTCACATGATAGAACGTCATCAACACACCCACTAGCTCCATGTGAATTCTCTGGACTATATGCAGCTGTTTTCTCAGATGGTCTTAAACCAACTCACTTGGCCCTTACATGGACTTTATACTAGGGAGTGGAGTAAAGTCCACTTAAGATGCGGGTCGGCTGACTCGGACATTTGCGTCCTCACATACAGCTCCCCCGGGTAATGTCTAGATAATTCCAGGGTTCCAGTGGATGTCTGAAAAGGGCTTGGGAGATGGAGACAGAGGACAAATGGAAACAGATCTTTTGGTATCAGTGAAGACATGGGAGGTGTGAAAAACATTATGTAACTCAGGGACTCAGAAACTGGCCCATGGAACAAGTAAAGAATGATTTTCCTAATCATCTGCTGCTGCTGTTGCCAGGCTGTGTACTCAGCAGCTGCTCTGCCCTAAAGAACTGAGAGGCAAACAGAGGCATTCCCACACAGCCTGGTAAACACCTATACTCACAGACTGGCACACACAGGCACAAACAGAGAAACACACTCAGTACAGTTTCCTAACACTGTTAAGTTGTGCTCCTTCAAGCTGTTCTACAGATATAATACAACAAATTTCACCCAATCTGTGAGTGTGTCTGTATGTGAGAGAGCAAATTAGAGAGGAACTAGGAAATGGGTAGGTCTGGAGGGTCATATACTCCCATTGTGTGTGTTTCCTGATTCTCTGATAGCAGACAGGAAGTAAGCCAAACACTCCAAAACAAGTGGAAACATTAAACAGCTCTTCACTTAATAATTAACCACAGTGTTTATTTCCACATGGACAAAGTGTGTATATGTGTACTTAGGCGTCTGGGTGTGCACATTCGTTGCTTTTCATGTAACTATGCTCCGGTTTATTCACCGTGTCTCAACATGAAATTACAAAAACAAACAAATGCCGAAAAGTCTGTTATTGTGCTGCTGTTTTTTTTTGTACTGATTGGTCTGGGTGTGGTGTCATACCTGACATTAATTTGAAGGAGCCTATATGTATGTCAGGCCAGAGTACAAGCTGTGAATAAGTGCTGAAGAATTAATGTCAAGACATTCCTGGCGTGGCAGCTTGGCCTTATTCCAAAGGCATTAAAACCCAACCTAAGTGGATTTTGCAGCAGAATAAGTACTGACAAACAGAAGCAAAGTGTAGAGTTCAAAGTCATCTGCCAAAGAAAGAACAAAACCTGCTTAACTCTAACAACAGAATTGAAACAGCTGCCACATCAACCTAGATTACTTAAATTCTCAGCGCATGGAACTGTCTACTTTATCAGTTTCAGGTAATGTAGGTGTTAGCATTCCCACAGCAATCTCATGAATTGACTCACTGATGTAAACCTTTCTGACACGTTTGGTGGAAAATGTGGCACGTCTTAGGACATGTTTAACACACAAACACATCTAGGTCAGTGGCAGCAGATATACTTGTGGTTACGTGAGTAGAGAAAGATGAAAGTGAAAAGGAAGTGAATTAAAAAAAGAACTAAGAATTTTGTTTTTAGCAGAATGTAAGTTTGCAGAAGAATGATTGGGAAAAGTCTGCTTTTCTATTCTCATGGTGCAGTCGTGCCTCTTCTGCCTTATCACTCCATACATCTGTCATCTGTCTTTTCTGTTGCAGTAACTTCTGTCATGTCACACAATGATGACTCTGACCCATTACACGGGATGATTACTGAGTCATTTTTCACTAAACTGGAGCAGAGCAGCACACAACAAAGGTTAACTGGATTTATACAATGCCAATATGTAAGGGGCAAATAAAACTTCCTTGATTTAGCTTTTTCATTTTCTTTTTTCATGGTCGTCATGTTTATTGCCCTTTGGCTGCTTCAGCTGTTAGAACAGTCTGTGTTGCAAACATTCAGGTTTTTGTAGAGCTTGTTCAGTTAGCGAGCATTTCTTTAACTAGACTGACCAATGTAAAGTATGGCACAAAATGAATTTGAGTGCTTTGGCTCACAGTTACTTATAATATATAAATAAGGTTTTATTATCAAACATGTTTTTACCCATGTAATGTAAAAGCCACTGGTTATCTATAATTTCTTGGTATGAGCACTATGGAAGTATTATCAGCAGTAATAGATACTCAGGCTTCAGATGCTGCTTCTGTTTAAATTAGGTAACAAGAACGCTGCCATTCTTGGTAAGGATGTGGATACAGCCTGCAAAACCACGCATGCAAAACTGCTAAAACAGTAAACTGGCTGTTTTCTGATTTGCCCATTTTCATCACAAACAGCCTTGAAAAAAAGATTACAGTAGTTAGGGTGATGCAGGTACGAGCAGGCTTTTACTACACAGGTGTTCACTTTCCTCAAATCTTTGGCTGACAATGCCAATAAGAGATGTTGTGTTAATAAAACTGAAAGAGAATAGTGAGACTCATTCCACCTGAAACTCTCCCGACTCTGATCAGATGTCTGTGAGGAATATACAAGTTGATTAATTACGTCCCACCCATTTCCTGCAGAGGAATTTTACCTGTGATCCTCTGAATAAACCAGCACGGTTATTTTTTATAAAATCTAAAGCAGTCTACTTCGTCTCATTGAGAGTTCCTGGTTTAAAAGAACCGGAAGAAGCTTCAGAGAAATAGTAGCTTATAGACCTCCATGTAAAAACCACAGTGGGGATGATCAATAACACAGATATTTTTTCCTGGATGTTGCATAATTTCAGTATGAAAGATGGTAATTTTCCCTTTCTTTCACTGGTGAAACACTAGTATGTGAAAACCCATCAAAGAACACACAATACAAAACAGGTCCATCTGAAACTACACCACTTGTCAACTATAAACCACATTTTCTTAACTACTTCCTGGTAGCACTGATTTCATATAAAATATGGGACTATTTCAAAATAAAAATAAAAATCACCAAGGTATCTTTGTGAACATTCATATTAATTTGGCCCAGTGTTGCCGATGATCACCTGTGTCACTGTCATACACATTATAACTCTCTCTTTACAATTTTTTTTGGGGGGGGAAGATCCCTTTTAAAGGTTAAACCACTGCCTTGTTCGTCATTCCAGTCAGACTGTCACTACTGATGTTTCCTGCTCATGACCATGCAGCTCCATCAGCAGTTCTCCACCCTACAGATATTTTGTGATTTTACTTCAAAGCATTTTAGAGCCAGCACTGTTCAAACCCTTTCCAATCTGACAGCTCCCATGTGTTTAGAGAACAAATTTATTCTTAAACCCAAAGGAAAACAAAAACCTCATCTGACCCACACCCAGTCTTTTAATTATATAATAATATACCTAAGCTCTCACTTAATCACGAGTTGTATGAGGACATGAACGCATGAATCCGAATCGACTCTGTGGATGGTAGGTCCCCTGGCAGTGTTGTCCCACCTGACTTCTCACTGCTCTCAATCCCCACTACAGTACAGATATCCTTTTTTGCTGCGGGGGGGGGAGAAAGGGATTTCAAAACACTGAGGCCAGTGGCTGTGGGTTTGTCTGTGTGTGTTTTTTTTTTAGAGAGAGAGAGAGAAAGAGAGAGAAACAGGGTGAGATGGAAGATATGAAATGTTAAAGCTTAATCCTGGTGGAAGGAAAGGCCGGGGGCAGAGGTTCTCCTAGTAGGGATCACATCAGTTGTATGTGGGTCTGTTGAATGACAAACCTGGCATTTAAACATGGCAGCTCAACAACGATCAGGCTGAATAAGAGTACTGAGAAGAGAAGATGATGTTTCTACAGTGAAATAAATGCTAAAACAAGAGACATAAGAACATGGAATACATTTTTTTTTTACTTAAAAGCAGTGACTTTTATGTAAATGTCATGTGCCCCTCTGATTCTGAATAATAAGATAATGAATTCTGTAACTTGGCCAGACATAGTCTAAGTAATCAGCTGGGTTTACAGAAAGGCTGGATTACTTCCATTCCAAGAATCTGATGTCCTGTGAAACTTTCCTGCCATATTTATGCATGATGATGTGGCAATGCTGAATCAACCACCTGATTACTATGCACTTCAAGCTGTTGACGCACTCCAGCAAAATCACCCTGAAATGTGACTCACTGAAAGAGTGAATGTGCTTTTTGAGGCCCTGTAGTTGCCTTTGATATATTAAACAGTCTTTAATAAAGTGAGGTGGCGCAGATATGACACCAAAAACAGCAAAACACATTTTGCAGTGTGCTTTAACCACGTTTCACACTGGAGTAAAAAAAAAAAAGTGGTATTTCACCTCCTCTTGTGATTTCAACACAACGTACATAAACAATAATCAACATTCTGACACACTTCCACAAGTTCAAATGTGACAGGTGTTGTGTTGAAAACACAATCACAAGAAGGCACAAAATCCTAGGACTGCTGACACTATTCATGTTATTCTTTTCTGAAAATGCAAAACAAGAGACGCATGAGAAGCTACGGTGCACTGACAGCTTTGTCTGTCTCTATCTTGTGCACAATGATGGTTTTCCTCTGAAACTAAAAAACGTCTCTACGTCAGCAAAACGTCTTCCTACAGTTTTGATTTTCAGCGCTACAGAAAGGAAATGATGACATCTGCACTGGTAGAATTTTGATTTGTGAAAAGATAAATGAGAAAAATGATCAGACTTTTCAAATTTACCTAGTGGGGGAAAAACCGCGGGCAGTGCGCCACCGCCTCTCCATCCTCTGCTGTCCACAAGCAAATTAAAGCGACCCTTTAACCTTTTCATGCGCAGACTTCAGCAGGTTGGAGTGACTGTGGTTGAGTTTGTGCTCTGATAGAATAAATACATACATCTATGAAATAACACAAAGCTGTGTGCAGACCAAAGCAGTAAATGTTCAGTGCGAGTGCAGTGTGTGCGTGTGTGTGTGTGTGTCCCTCGGATAAAGGCTAAGGATTACATATGAGAGTCCAGCTGTTAGTTCTCCCGTGGTTTCTGCTGAGAAGCAGATTAACTCCCCTACACACATCAACAACAAGCATCACACACACACACACACACACACACACACACAAACAGGCATAAAGCTGCACACATACCAATAACTAAGAGTGCTCAAACCACTGTCCAGCTTCCAGACTGCAGTTATTCAACTGAGAAAATATTAATGAATGATTTCCTGCTTCATAAACCCTTGTTCACTTGCAGTTTATAATCGCTATACAGTTTAAATGTATGGGCGCGTTGTATTTAATTTTGTGTCTGCTGCTGTTCACTTTAAGAATCCAGGAGATACTGTATTTAAAACATCATATGGTCCAACTTGGCGGTAACTTACAACTGCCATTGTTTCTGACTTATTAAATACCGGTTAATGATCATTTAGCCTATGAAATCTATACTAGATTAATAACTAATGAAAGCAACAAATGGTGAAAAATGCAACCCTATCATAACACGGCGTTTCCACATGGACTGCGCATTAGCCTATATTTGGTCCTCTCCATTAAATCTGGGGTAGATTAATGTAGCCTAATACTTAATAATGGTCATAAAATAAAAAAAAATAATAATGAAAGCAGTCAATATACGGATACGCTCTGAGTAGCCCAACAGTAAAATGACTTTTTAAATTACTGTCCTTCTTTGCGCACACTCACTCAAAGATCCACACAACTGGATATCTTGGGATATCCCATATTTGCCAGCTAATAAAACAACAAAAAGTAAATAAAAACACAGGTATCTCTGTAAAACGCTGTCATCGGTAGACTAAACTATTATTTACTCTTGAAACCTCCGTGCCTATGTGTCGTTAATCCTGTGACAGACACTCCTTGGGATACTTGGAAATGATCTTATACTATCGATGATAATTAGTTTTTATCTGCTGTTTGTGTGTGTTGTTTATTTACCCGGGAGCCTGGCGCTGATAGGGAGACCACAGAGCAGGACCGCGGCGAACAGCAGCAGCGAGGCGTTCGTTCCGCGCGCCTGAGAGCAGCATCCTTGGGGTCTTCTCAGGGACGGATAGCCGGACACGGGGGCGCAGGTTGTTGTCATTCCTACATCATTTCTGTTTTCGTTTTATATTGTGTTTGTTCGTTTATAGGAGACACGTTCACCGCGAAATACGCACAACGATAAGCCGAGCAGGTGGAACCAGGGAGCAGTCTGTCCACACACTGCGCACTGTAATCCGTGGCAGCGTTACAGATAGCGGGGCTTCAGGCAGGGAAGGAGAGCTGCCTTCACTGTCTCCTCGTAAACTATTACAGTAGTAAGAAAAATTGAGTGACAAGAGCTGTGACACTGCAAAATATAAACGTTTTGAAATAAAGGCGCTGACTGCCCTCAGCGGCCACGGTTACGTGGTTTATGATTCTGTGTCTCTTTCAATCTGGGTGCCTTGTTCTTATATGTACGAGGGGTGGGGGTCCGTTTATTGCATGTGCTCAAGAACTTGTGCCAATTACTGAGACACACAGAGACACCCAGTTGCAAGATACACAGCAACATTCCTGCAAATAGCTACAAAGCCTATTACAATGAATAATTAAAATTAAATATTAATTTTATACTTCAATTTTTGAAAAATACTCTCTCCACACAGGCTAAGGACATCAATGAAAATTTCCAATTTCAACATTGTTCATACCTTTTCTGTAACGTCAATTTTTCCCACAGCACATGAAGGCAGCAGTTTAGAGACCGGACACAACAGCAAGAGGTACGTGTGCATGTGACGCGATGACGTGGCAAAACCGGTTTAAATAACATGAGATAATATGGTGTGCCCGGGGACACGGCTTGCACACCGCAGGTGTGGATAAAAATTGATCATTTTATTTTAATGCTGATAGGCTTACAGCAACCCTCTATAGGATAATCAGTATAGTTAATGGATGGATGTTGTCATGCAATCACTATTCTTTCCCCAAAACGCGTCGGATGAATATGATTTACTTCAGCTACCAGGGACTTGTTGCACTAAGCGCCTTATCCTTTCACACACGGTATAATAATCATGACTCCACAAATATTCTAATGTCTTCCCATTGCTCTTGTCAGCATCACCACTGTCAATATCCTAACGGCAATAAAGTCACAAAAATTCAAAGATCACCACAAACACTGGGCAAAACATTCACAGGACTTCAAGGTATTACAGATTTAACATTAATTGACTTAAAGTCTGGAGCCAGGATCGCAGTTCTGTGTGGCTTTGATTTGATTTGATTTATTCTTTCAAGCATGTAAAGACAGTTGATATGTCAACACACATAATTTTACACATATCCAACAAATGCTAATCCAATATCAATTTGCTTATACCTAGTACATGCTTGAATGGAGTAGGAAGAAGTCAGACTTATCCAGTCCTACCCCATGACATCATCTTACCATCATTGGTTTACAAGCAGTATCTCTACATAAATAATTCTCTTCTACACCACACAAGTAATATACTAAAAAAATTATAACAG